AGACGTGTGCTCTTCCGATCTCGCGATCTAATTGATTAACTTTATTCGTTAATAACTCTGTAAATAATGGTCTGAGCCAAAATTGAAAGAGGAACTTTTAGTTCAAAATTTCATTCTCTTTCACGCCTTGAAATATTAATTAAGCGTTACGGGACACCCTGTATATTATTTTTGGAAATATCGACATTTTATGACAAAGCTTGATCATGTGGACGATACATTAAATAAATTTAGCACATCGAAAAAGAATAGAATGCGAAATTTTATAAGACACATCTCTATTTCGTGGTTTGTGATGACTTGCATATCATGGATTTTTTATTTTGTACTCTGTGCAACATTAATAGATCTTGGATAAAGCTATAATCAAACCATGGAAAGAATTGTTGACAATAGAACATTTGTGAGATCGTTTACAAAACGGATCTATTAGTAGAAAAATGCTAACCTTGGATTCCATTTGTGTAGAATAGACTTTAAATTATATATATTAGCGTATATGAGAGGATTTTGAATTATGTGTTAGAAAGTTACGTTTATTTCGCTGACAATGACCGCTCATTTAAGACGAAACGTCCGGAGTTTTAACGATCATTGTATTATTATTGTCATTTTTATTTTATATTTCATTTTATATTTTTGTATATGTTAAATATTACATTTATAAGCAAGTACATCCTGCGTTGGCTCACTAGCTCTTATCCTCATATTTACTAAAAAAATTTATATTAAATAATATCTTTTTTAATAATTATAAATTTTATCTTTATTAGCTAATCATGTAAAACATTAAAATAAAAACTTTGTACTTAATGCAATAATTCATATTATTGATAACTCATATGCGGGTCGATTGTCTCCACACTGTTTAATAATTTAAAGACATTTGTAATATAGTTAAAAGTCATTCCATTATAGCGATAAATATGACGTTTGCACAATATGAACTATGCAACTTTGAAACTTTAACAGTTAGTATATAAAATTGTAAGAGCCTTCATCATGGTTGATACTATAGAGAAGACGTTGAATCCCGTTTCTTTAATTACGTTTGTTTTAGGTTTCGGGATTCTCTATCCCTTAGGCGAATCAAAATATCGATTGAGTATTTTCTATTTATTAATAGTGTGGAGTGTTTATGCTTACGCGTTTTATCATGCAACGAGCCTATTTGAGATGAAAAATGTACTTGATAGTTCATTGGGTTTCTTTATCGTTGTAGTAAATTTATTCGTGGCAATAATATCCATAATCATCATCTTTTGCAAACACAAGGTATACGTTTTATTTGTGAAAATCGGTTTAATATAGCATGCTATTTGAAATGTAGCAAAAAACATGTAAAATGGCATATAAAACATATAAAACTGCTTTCTAAAATGACTATTTAATTTCATTATTTACTTGGAAAAGTGATAAAATAAAATCTTGTAAATATTATTGAATTATACTTCATACATTTATTTTTATTTGTAGAATCTAAAGTTTTCGTTTAGTTAACAAATCTTATTTCAATTGTTTCTTATATTAGATAAATATAATTTATATTTTAATAATATCTTTATCATATATATTGCGTTTTATTATTAAATGTACTATTATATACATGCTTTATTTATATTTATTCAGAGAAACACTTAAGATTTACAAATTTTCTTACTAAATCTTCAGAAATATCGACACTTTATAAGGAAGCTCAGTCATGTGGATGATACATTGGAAAAACTCGGAACATCGAAAGAATATCATAAAATGCAACACTTCATAAAACAGATGTTGATTACGTGGCTTTTAGTAACTCTTTTGTCTTGGATTTTTGATTCTGTACTGTGCGCAACACTATATAATGATATAAAAACCATAGTTGTTTCTTGGATTTTGAATTATTTTGCATACGCTAACACCATCACAGATATAACGTTTATACTTCTCCTGAAGTTAGTAAATCATATTCTGTTATAATTATTTTACACTATCTAAATGTTGTTAAAGTATTAAAATAGGTAATTTCACTGGATAAATTGTTAATTTCTCAAAATAAATACACTAAAGTATAACATAATATATATTAAATTTAATTATTATTTATTTGATATTAACATTGCTCTAAAAGCATTTGCTTGTTACTATACAGTTTTAAATTTGCATTAACCAGGTGAATGTGTGCTTATGAATTTATTGTTAGAAGTATGTACTTTTATATCTACAAAGAAACTTTAAGCAAAAAAAAAAGGAATTAATGTTTCATGTTTTGCTAATTGCGTGTAAAAATTTCATTCCTATTTTTTTTTAAAGTAAATAGTTTTTAAATTCCAGATATATCGGTAGTAGATTGAATAAAATAAATGATCATATTGAACAATTATTAGAAGTGAAAGACTATATAAGACTAAGATGCAAGTGGAAAAAGTCTCTTGCTGTTAGCAATCACAAGGTCAAAGGTGCTGAGAATCACGAGCATGTATTATGGACCGTAATGTAAATTGCAAATTTTTTACTTACGTAATAAGGAGAGAACAGATATAAAAAAAATTTCACACAGTTTCATTAGATAATAAATCGTCCAATATATGTAGATGCAGCTCATAGACGCACTAGAAAAAATGGTTAGTTATATAAATAGCAATTTTGATTAAAATATGAAACGTAAAAACCTATTTAGTTGATACATGTATCTTTATCAATGAAATCATTTAGTTTAGCTGGGATATATTAAACACCAACTATAAACAGCAAATATATAATTATAACAAATTATAATATAATTATAACAAATTATTTGGTTTTATATAAATAATCTAAACCTAAATAAAATTAAATAATTTTCTTCGGTACGTTTCAATCAAAATTTTGAATCACAAAATATTTTTAGTGCTTTAACCTAATTAAATAAGAAACGGGTATATAATGTACACATATAACGTATTCTGATAATAATAGATTAATAAATATAAGTGTATATTTAATATAATTATATTTGTTAATTAATGTAATCTATATCTTTTCAGACATCTTCATTCGGAACTATGCCGAACAGCTTGCGAAATAAACGACTTCTTCGGAATTCAAATTACTCTGCAAATGATATCCTATTTCATTATTTTAATTATAATATTTTATAGTCAATTACATTTGATATTGAATCCAAAACAAATATTTGAAATCGATAAAATACTGAAAATAATGCTTTCTGACGGCACATGGTTCATCGTAGCTTTAATAAAATTCATATCATTGAATTATATATGCGAAAGTGTCAGTACTAAGGTAAATATATTCAGTAGTAGTTCATACACAAGATTGTAAAAAAAATATTCTTTCAATCAATAAAGTTGCATAATAAGATAACATATCTTCGAATTTCATGGAAGATTAATAATTGCAAATAATTAAACTTTAATTTGAAAAATAAACTCTATTTTTTTATAAAGTAAATAAATTTGACAATTTTCCTGTTTTATTTAAACATACAAAGTAAATGTAAATGTAAAATAATGTAATTAAACATTTCAGGCGCAAAAGACCAAGGACATTATTCATAAATTGACAAATCTTATTTATTTTGTCGAGGTGCGCGAAGAGGTAAGATAAATTTTCTATACAGCCATTTCTTGATTTGTATAATCATTATTTAAGTGTATTTAAGATTTCATATTAACATATAATTCATATAATCATGTAACGCAGATTTGCCAGTTTGTGTTGCAAATATCACTACGGCCATTAAAGTTTAGCGGATTAGGCCTGTTTTATTTTGGCTACAGCTTTATTCATAAGGTTAATCTTCAACATTATTTATATCTTTATGTCGAAACTTAGCTTTCTAAGTTGCAAAACTTTCAGCAGTAATGTTTTCGGTTTATGTATCTTTTCAGTTCTTCGTATGGATGATCACAACTATTATTTTCATGACGCAAATGGATTTTACTTCACTATGGTAAATGGTTCGAATTTAATAGCAGAGATAATATAACACAATACAAAAAACAGTAGAAAATGTAGAAGTACAGAATTGTAAAATTATTTATATACATATTATCCTTCTATTTATTTAATATTCATTTATTTCAATGTACCATAATTTTTTAAAGTCATATGTATGTATGTATATATCGATTTATAAAATTTGTGGTATAAATAATCTTATTAATATTAATTTAATATTAGGTTACATTGCGCTAATATATTACATGTAACAATCAAAGTCCGGATCTTGGTGCCGTTTTTCCCAACTCCAAGCCGGTGTAGTGATTTGGCGTAGCATAACTTTACGTGTTATAGCTATATTTTAATAAACGGTATTGCTTCTTGTAACACTGTCGCGGCACATATATAATTTGTATGTATATAGATTCAAATTAATATTATAATTATAAATATATTAAATATATATTTAAATTATTAAAACTTCTTCAACATTTATAAATTACAAGCTAATTAGTTAATCATGTGATACATTCAAATGGATTTTTCTTGTTTCAAATATTGTATTAATTCACACTATTAATTATAGAAACATGTCATTTTACAAATTAATAGTCAGTTACTAAAAACATATATCGTTGCTCACAATCTCTATTTGAGTTATTTAATTTAAAATATTTTAATACAAAATTAATTACTGTAATAAAAAAATATCCGTAGGTTAAAAACATTTGCAGTAATAAGCGTTTTGCTTTTAATAGTGTTCGACATCACAGATTTTATGTCATCATGCAAGTATATTTATGGTGGAAACTTTAAATAATATATAACGTTATTAATCTGTAAATTATTCTGTCGTCTTGATAAACTATATATCTATCGTAAACTGAATAAAAAACAACAGATAAAATATCAGTTTACAACAGGAACGATAATGAATATGGGGATTATCATAGAACAAAATGTACCTTTTCTCTCACGTTCTCGGTCTAGGCGTCTATACTGCGAAACCTTAAGTATTTTCCATAACAATGTAACAATGCATGTGGAGTGTTTACAATTACTTTTTATAATATGCAGTGATTACACTTAAAATAGAAAAATAATTTCTAGGAACTTCTACTTTAATCAATAATGGGATTAACTTTCTTGTCATTATTACATGTATTATTATGGGTTTATGTCAACATACCTAAGATAAATAAGGGTTTACTGCAATAGAGTAAACTAATTCACATTTTGTAACACTTCACAAAAGCAAAAAATAAACTCTAAGATTCGTCACTTTACTTTAAAATTTCCTTTCTCCATTGTTACAAAATATGTTAGCTCTGGTGCAGCAGATGTCAATCCTTTAAAAATATAAATATCTAATTGCAAATAATTTTTGCATAAATACGTCTTACATTAAATAAATTGTGTTACTGTATAATATTGTTCAGAATTTCATAAAAAGATTTATTGCTATAGACAATATACTGGAAGGCACTTCTAAAATAATTAAAAGTTACATATATATAAAAAGAGTATTAATTGGATGCCTTGTATTACGAATCGTTTTCAATATGTCAACATGTTTGTGGATTTAATATTTACTTCTATGGTTTATATATTATTCATATTTATATATACCTATATATTTATATACGTATTTTTTTCAATACCTATTTTATAAAAATAATTTGTTACCCTAAAATTACAATATTTTTAAAGAATTTAAGATCTCATTTTAAATGAGGCAAAATAAATAATAAGAGGCAATATAAAAGTAAACTGTTTAAACTCAAATAGTCATTGTTTTGTACAAATTTATTTATAGTTGACATCACAAATAATAAATAATCAGTGAGTTCTATGGTATGTATATTTGGAGCGAGTCATCGAAAAATTGAGGATGTCGTAATTTCTAGTTTATGACATATAAAAATTGTACTACTCTCTTTATCAAAGAATCGCTGATTGCCTGATGCTGTTTTACTATAGGAAAGAATCTTCTTTACTATATAGAAAAGAATTTAAGATACATGTTTTACATTTTCTTTTTCTTTTTCTTTGTCAGACCACAGTTGTTCATAGCTTACTTAATAGTATAGGGAAGGCTCGCTCCAGTACTATAGAGTATAATAATTGATGTATTATTTGCTTACTGCAAATAATACATCAATTATTGAAATTCACATCTAAGCATCTCGTCTACTTTGACAGTGACTTTACTGCGAAAAGTCATTGTTATTTGTTTCTATATTTTCCTTATTAATTTTTTCTTTTATATAAGAACTAAATTTTAGCTGTGTTTTAGCAGTATAGCATAAGTAAATATATCCAATATAAAATAAATGAACAAAAAATACAATTTCAAAAGAAAATACAAATAATTCATATACTGGTCAATTGTTTCTACTATGATAAGTTTAATAATATTAATTTAAAGACGTTTGCAATAAAATTAAATGTTATTCCATTATAATAATGAACGTGATGTTTATACAATGTGAACTTTGCAACTTGGAAACTTTAACAGTTAGCACATAAAATTGTGAGAGCCTCCAACATGGTCGATACTATCGAGAAGGCGTTAAGTCCCGTTTTTTTAATTACGTTTTTCTTAGGTTACGGTATTCTCCATCCCTTAAACGAATCGAGATATCGCTTGAGTATTTTCTATGTATTAACACTATGGAGTGTTTATGCTTACGCAGTATATTATGCAGTAAATCTGGTCTTGACAAAAAGTGACATTAATAGTTCATTGGCTTTCTTTGCAGTGACAGTGAACTTGTTTGTGGCAATGATATCCATAATTATCACCTTTTGCAAACACAAGGTATATGTTTTATTTATGTGAATGATATCGTTTTATAATACATCATGATATCCAAAATAAAACAAATAACGTATATTGTTACTTTCCAATATGTTATTAATTATTCATTATTTACTTAAAAATTGATCAAATAAAATCTTGTATTATTGAATTATATTTTATACATTAATTTTTATTTTTAGGATCTAAAACTGGCAATTAGTTAATAAACTTTTTTTAAATGTCTCTTGCATTAAATAAGTTAGTAAAATTTATATCTTAATAAAATATAATATAATAAAATTTTGATCATATACATTATGCTTTACTATTAAATGTATCATTATGTATATGCATTATTTATATTTATTTAGGGAAACTTCATTTTTTCATAAATAATTTTTCTGATATTATTCTCAGAAATATCGGCAGCTTATGAAGAAACTTGGTCATGTGGATGATACATTAGAAGAACTCGGGACATCGAAAGACTATCGTAGAATGCAAAATTTTATAAGACAGATCTTGATTTTGTGGTTTCTAATAACTTGCCTATCATGGATTTTCGATTCTTTATCGTGTATAGCAATATACAATGATATAAAAATTATACTTGCTCCTTGCATACTGACTTATTCTTCACATGCTAACACTATCACAGATATAACATTTATACTTCTTCTGAGGTTAGCAAATCATATTTTGTCATAATTATTTTACAATATCCAAATATTATTGAAATTCATGTAATTAATTCTGAATAAATTCTTAACTTTTCAAAATAAACACATCATAATATATAATATAAAATATTATTAATAATCTTAAATAACTAAAGGGAGATCCGGGTTCGATTCCCGGCTGAGGTGATATTTTTCGCAATAAATTTCTTTACAGGTTTGGGGGGAGGGGATTCCATAGATGCATACTAACATCACAAAAATATTAAATTACTCATAAATTTAATTAGTTAACAAGTGATTCCGGCTTCATATAAAGACTATATTTTAAGACCGACAAACCGTGCGGCGCGCAGTTTGTATGTGGTTGAATATTGTAACAATGAAAATTATTTCACACTAACATCCGTGTCAGCTGTCATAGGCACTCTTTTGATATTTAAGATTTATTCTTCAAGGCTGTTTTCCTCTAATTTAAATTTATTATTAATAATATAAAATATAAAATTATTATTTTAAAATATTAATTATTTTATATTAATGTTGTACTCTACAAAAAAGTATTTGCTTGCTTTCATATATATATATAGTATTAATAAATTTGCATTATCCAGATCAATATGTACATACGGACTTGAAAGTTCGTAATGTATCTTTATATCTACAAAATTATAAAATTTCAAACAAAAAAAAATAAAATAATGTTTTGCAATTTAAGTTTAAGATAATTACGGGATTAATTACGGGTTTTCTATTGTTTTTTAATTTCAGACATATCGGTAATAGACTGGATAAAATAAACGATCATATTGAACAATTATCAGAAGGCTATGGACAATACAAGTGGAAAAAACTTCCTATTGTTAGTAGCAACAATATCCAAAGTACTGAGAATCGCAAGCATGTGTTATGGACCGTAATGTAAATTGCAATTTTTTTAACTTACATAATAAAGAGAGGAGAGATAAATAAAACTTCACTGTAATTCCATAAGATAATAAATCTTCCAATATATATGTATAAGATGCAGCTTACGCACCAGGAAAAATGGTTAGTTCTATAAAACGAAATTGTCATTAAATGTACCGGTAAATATATTTGGTTGGTACAAATAAATATTGACAAATTAATATATATGTCATTCCATTTAGTTCAGTTATATTTTAATAGTAACCGTAAAAAAACAAATTTATCTAACTAAATCAAATATTTTGTTGTACGTAAGTAAATTAAACCTAATAAGATTAAATAATTTTGTGCATTACATTTTAATCAAAATTTTGGCTCACAGAACAAAACATGTTTTCCAGTGCGTTAATCAGATTAAATAAGACACAAATACAATACACACATATGATAAATTCTGAAAATAAAAGATTATTAAATATAGTATACAATATAATAAATTTTTAATATAATTATATGTGTTTATTAACGTAATATCCTTTTAGACATCTCCATTTGGAACTTTGCCGAACAGCTTGTGAAATAAATAACTTCTTCGGAATACAAATGACTCTGCAGATGATATCCTATTTTATTATCTTAATTGGAATATC